TTGCTCACAAAAGTTGTGATTTAAAAGATAGTTCCACTAAACTGGAAACAGAACTAAGACTAAACTAGGCGGTTTTAAAAAGAAATGTTTATTAGGTGCTAAATTTTAGGTAATACATTGCATCATAAATGTTCAACTAATGCCATTGTGTCACTTAATAAAGAATTTTTAAAACAAATTGTCTTAAGTCAGAGCAAAACAAAATATATTAACAATAAAATACATGAGTGGGTTTTTGATTGATGGTTTGTTGGTTGTGCTTTAGTAGTATCACACACTCCTTAGTGTTTCCCAGACACAGATCATTTTTCCTTTTTGTTTATTATATGAAACATAAATGATACATAAATATTGAACTATCTCAACAGCTGTGTGCACTATTTTTAAACTATCCAAGGAATCCTGTAGGTGATACCTGCAAGGCAATGCTGCTAAATGTATTTCCTTACAATGTCCCAAATTTTAAATGAGCTATTTTTCCAAAACCCAGAAGTCTTCAAATGGTAAATTTTGAAGTAACATTGCGCTATTTGATGCATGAAAATACCAACATTATAATGATGTTCCATAACTCAATAAACCAATGATAAAAGGCAAAACATCAGAATGAAATTAAAAAATCAAATAAAATGAAAAATCTCAGGCCACAAAACATTTGTATGCCTGAAGGGTAAAAATCATAACTTTGGAAAAATACAGTGTTAACATAGATTGTGTTATGACAATAATGTTTCTTCAGATGTTCAGCTTTCCTTTTAATTAAACTAAGAACATATTTAATAAAAAGAGCAAATTTCCACAGAGCTCCTAATGTCTAAGTGAAAGACAAGATTAATCCTTCAACTAAGGATAAGAGAGACAAAATATAAAGTAATCTATAGCAGTAGATAGTATGTCAAATGCAAACATTACAACTTTAAGATTTAAGGAAAAATATGTATCAGCAACTCTGTGATCATACGAAAACTAAAGGAATTGTATGATATAAAATGATAACTATCCTATGAAACCCCCCCAATAATGTTGAAAATTATACTACTATATTTTCTCTACTGGTAACAGTTCTATTTCTCTATTAATTTTGTTTTTGAAATATATACCGGTAAGTTTCTAAGGTATTTTGCATCTAAGATCAAAGAACAAAGTACAGACTGCAACTTTGAGAAACTAAAAGATTAATATTCACATGTACTACCAATACTGTAATACTCTTCCCTAAACAATATCAACAGAAGCACTGCATTTTAAAGTTCATTATCCAATGAATTTCAAAAAAAATCATTTGTTTATAATCCTATTTCTAAACATTAAATTGACCATTGAATTATTTCCCAATAAAAGCAGCGTAAGATATTTCCCTCATAAAATAATTTTTACTTATATTCTGCTTTTCCATGATTTTAAAAAATGTATTGTACAGCTTGTGATTTCAAGACAAAGCAACATTCAGGTTGAACAGCAATAAAACCAAGACATAATGGATCTAAGAATAACGAATTTAAAGTTTAAATTAAGGATCATAAAATGAAATAATATATATTAAATGCAATCCTATTTTATAACCTACAAATATGAAAACAGTAAACATTACACACAAAAACATTCCAATATCATAGTGAAGGATTCCTATTTGACCGATACAATGAATATCTCCAGTGTCATATGACAGAATAAAAATAGATGTACTACAAAGTGTTCTAAAATCTAAGGTACAGAAGAAAATACTTATTTTATACATCCTTTCCTACTCCCAACCAATAAGGTATTCAGTAAGTTTTTCTGATTTCATCTTCGAAACTTCTATTACAGAATTTTAACTGATAAAATCTCCTATTTATTAAGGAAAACAAATAACCATCTTCAGATATCAAATATAAGAATTAGAAAAAAACTATCACCTTTCAAAAAATGAGTATATTTCCCAAAATCGGAAAGGTCTTTTTTACTACAAGGGAACTTAATGTAATATAATTATAAAAGGATATATAAATAAGCCCAATTCAGTAGATTTAATTAAGTAAGAAAAAGAGACATATTTCTAAACCACCAGTAATAAGTCAATATTCTCTAAGATGAGATTTTTAAAAGTAAATGAATTATACAAGATAACAAAAAATAAATCTAATAATAGATTATGTTCTTTTGATTAAAGTAATTGAAAAATATACTTCATAATTCCTTATCATACGATTTTCTTATTATTTTATTCAATATTTAACATGTTGAAAAACATAAGGTGCAAATTCTATATTCATACCAACCAAGTGCAAAAATCTTTCCTTCATTTCAGTGAAAATTTTTTAAATTACTCAGAAAGGCAGAGTTGCTTAAAGTTATTTGAAAGATATAACCTGAGCCAAAAAGAAAACAAAAAAGGAAAAACAATTTTGAAGAGATCACTTTGGCCATAATTGTTTTTAAATATATTTCAATAGAGGTGAAATTTATTGAAATATCCTTAAAGTGTAACTGTATTCTGTCATACATCCAGTAGTATCTGAACTAAACCTTATGAACACAATATCATTCTTTTTCAATACTTAGGTAATTTGAATAGATCTATTAGATTATAAAACCAAAGTACACTTTTCCCCAAATATACTTTCTTATCAAATGAGAAACAGAAAAATGCTTCATGAAATAAACACCAGGCATATTCATGCTAATAAAACAATCATAAACATATTCACACAAAGGGCTTCTGAATTATTGCATAATCCTTAAAGAAACCCTTTATAACTAGACAATATGAATCACAGCTTTATAATTTCGCTGATTTGACACGTGCAAGGTAAGTATTCCTTAAATGTATCTGAGTAAGATAAGTTGAAAGGAGCCCACAGGCTGTTGTTGAAGAATACCAGTACCTTGGGTAATTCCACAGGCTTGTGGTCAAATGTGAAAAGAAACACCACTAAAATTAAAATCTATTGGAAGAAAAGAGATGTATCTTTTCAAACAGGTAATAACCTGGTTAAAATCATATTTTAATACTAACTGTTCAGAATTCTTAAAGCTTCTCAAAAACTACAATGCTTTATTTTATCCTTAAAATTGACTCCACAGTGTGTGATTGGTTTCCACCTGTTACAGGCAAAGGATAAGCCTTCTTTTATCCGACAGACATTTCAACTCACATTTGAACAGGTTACGTCACCACACACACACAATTTTATTCAGCACATTCCAGCTTCCCATTTTTTCCAACGGATGTCCTTGCTCTATACAAATAACGTGCCTCCGAACTATAAATAAAATAAGCAATTTCAATGTAATAAGAAAAAAATGCACAATTAAGTAGACTAAACACAAAAGATCTAATTCTCAGTGCACCCTTTCCAACCCACAGAAAATAAACTATATTCAAATGAAAAGGCATTTAATTTACTATTTGGAATATCCTTGATAAACACCAATTTTCTGTAACATCCCTGCACATCTGATACCACCTCATGTATAATGCAAAAAAGCTATTTCATTTTCATCTATTGACAGTGAATTTAATTTACCATTGCAGCTCTTTTCCTAGAACTATCATGTTATTAATTCTGCAATCAAGCTCTTTTGAGTGCTTTTATTTCTACTAAGGGTTTTCGGAATTCCATATTGATTTTTTTCATCATAATATACCTTTTAAATGTATGAATATGAATTTGTTAGCAAACTTTCCTAATGCATAAGGAAAGTTTCTCAGACAAGGAAAGCCATCTGCAAAACTACACTCACAGGAACAAACTTTACAGAGCTATTATATTCAATAGATCGCATGTGTTTTAATTTGATAAAGGTATGTTAAGTCAAAATGATACATTTAGTTTATATAACTAAATGATAGTTTCAACCACTGCAAAACCTTCTTATCCAGTATAATGGTCCATTCTCCCACCAAGCTATTGGCTACGAAAAAGAAGTCCTCCAAATGTTTTTGCTTACGTTCATGCCAGATGTCTTTTCTGTACTAAAGTACTCTTAGTGAATTAGATCACTAAAAGCAAATCAGCTTTCTTTTCCAACAGGAAAAAAAAAATAAGCAGTTATCAGTTCCCTCAGCATTGAACCAATATCTTTATAGCCATAAAGCTAAAATGACCCCCAAAAATGGCGGCAAGCTAGATCTATGTAAAATCAAATCAGCTAATAACATTTTAACTACGAGATACACTACTCAATTAGGAGACTTCTCCATTAAACTTAAAATACGTACATTAAGTAGCAAAATGATGAAAAATGAAAGAAAAGATGAACATGCAGAACTGTATAACACCTGAAATAATAAAACACACTGAAAAGTAAAAATAAAAAAGATACCACCTAGGAAACTTGCCATATTCCAATAGTTTACTGTACCAACTGTTAAGCATATTTTAAAACTGTTACACATATTTTAAGCAATAAAGCTCTTAAGTAACACAAATTTTGCAATATTATTTTACTTCTTATATAACAATACAGATTTCCTTATTCCAATTACATTAAAATCACAAAATTTTAAAAATCTGAAGAGGCAGCTCTTGTCCTCTTCACTCCAAGGCCAACAAACAAAGCAATGAAGCAGAAAGAGGTACATAATGGATTCAGAAGTAAATGGTCCATTCTTTAAGAAGCCTCCCTACCCCCACCTTTGAATTCACTCTAGACTAATTGTCATTACAATGATGTCTGAAAACTTTAGAAGAACCCTATTTCCTGATACCAGCTGTCCAGGGTTCTATCTTTAAATTTTTGAGTATTTTTCCTAATAAAAGTATTCAGAAATATGCAAAAGAACAATCTTGCAATCCACTGAAGTCACATACACAGTACATATCGATTATAGGGAAAAGACATAACCAACCATGGAAATATGCTGAAAATTTGTCCATAACATACTCTAACACAGCAATTTATAAAGTCCCTCACTATTGTTTAACAATTTCTTCTGAGACAACATACAACACATGTAGGTTCTCTCTTACTTTGCTTGGGAATTCATCAAACAAGCTCTTTACCACTGCACCTAC